GAACAACACAAAAACCAGTAAGAATAATCCTTATATCACCTAGACAAACCACATTGACTTAGATAAAGTTAGCAAGGCTAAAGCTCAAACCATTAAAACTAAGTTAAAACAAAAAAAAAACCATTTTTTTTTTCTATAAAGGTATAAAAAGCAATTTTTTCTTAACATAGCAAACTCAAATGACATATCAAACAAGCTATTCCAGCCATCTCAATGAACCTTGAAATCATCATCGTCTTTTATATTTTACACTTATCCTAACTATTTTGGACAGCTTTATAGATATTCTTTGTCTATTCATTTGAGCCTAAAACTATATTGTGTAAACCTTTCTGCACGACTTCTGATAATTTATCCTCAACATACTCAGTTTGCCAAAACTTCTACATTATTCTATAAAGTTCCTTTATTAATGCATTTTATGCCATTTGCGTTACATGAAAACCCACCAAATTTGATTCTTTTACTATCCTATCTTACGTTATCCCTCAAATATAGTCATTTCCTACTGCATTTTGTCTTCATCCTCTCTGGCAATTATATATTACCAAGTCCATGCACTCTGGCTCATGAATCTAATCTTTCGGCAGGTAAGCCCTAGAAAAAATATATATAGAAAAATTTACAAAACATTCCACTCAATTCTTATTCATTTACATATCTAACACCTAAACTTCAACCTTTTACACCTATGCATGAAAATTTTAATTTCACATTTTAAAAGTTAATATAGTGGTATTTTAGATGTCATATGAAAGATTTAGGTGTTATAAATGTAAAAAAGTAAATTTTAAGTGTTAAATATGTAAATATATAGGAATTGGGTGGTATGCATCTAAATGCTCCAAAAATATATGTAAAAAATCATGAAGGTATTTCAATAACAAAGACACAAAGAATGACCTGCATTGCATTAGTATTAAAAGACAAAATTTTCTTTCTCAAAACTCAAGATACCTTCTAGCGGCTCCTGGGAAATTCTATAATTATCACCTTTGCATCATTCTAGTGATTTAAAAGTTTGAATCTTTCATGTAAAAGTTTTTTATGATAAACAAGTTTGATCATGAGTGGAAGTTTGGTACAGATTGCATGTTACTCCTAAGAGTGTAACTATACAATAAAATTAGGGAAATTTACATGTATATCACACAATTCTTATGTATTTACATATCTCACACCCAAAGTTTGATATTTACTCTTATAAAACCTTGGTGCCATAAACCTATACATGAAAATGTGCATTTCAAATCCAGAAAGGTAGTGATGATGGCATTTTTTATGTGATGTTAAAAGATATGAGTGGTATGCATGCAAAAACAAACGCAATAGTGATGATGGCATTTTTTATGTGATGTTAAAAGATATGAGTGGTATGCATGCAAATCTTCCAAGAAATGAAACAAAATTTTCAATCTTCTCTGAACTTAGAATCGGAAAAGCAGCCAAAACTTACCTGACAGAGTAAGCAACAACCTGTCGTTTGCCCTGAAACCCTTTCAAACTACCTCTGATGGTGACATACATCCCATTCCTTATCAACAAGAGAATCAAACAAGGTTTCAGGGAAGAACGCAATTGAAATCACAAACAAAAGAGAGAGACTTATCATCACTCACTGAACGAGAGCCATCTCGTTGGTATCTGTAGTTTCATTCACCCTGAACAAAACTAAAAGGTTAAACAATCAACGAAAGTCGGAATGTAATCTTTTTAAATTTTGCAATCATAAAGATCAAGGAACCCACCATCTATTCACATTAATCCTCCCAGATCCGTCATCAAGGGAAAAAGTAACGTCAGTGACCCTCTCGATCTTATTCACCATAATACCCAAGAGTTTCACCTGCGAAAGTTGCCTAGGGTTAGGGTTTCTCTTTCAAAACAGATCAACGTGTTCAAAAACTTTGAGGAGAAAAGAAGATCACATTGGTAGCGTCGACTCCATCAACAACGAAATTGGACTTATCGTCGTTGGAATCATAGGCCTCACTTATCTGCTTCACAGTAAGCGGGAGAATCCCTTGAGACGCACGGGACTGAAAAAAGGAAATAGGGCAAATTTATACGTCGACGGAGGAGAAGATACGCGGGGATCAGAGAAAACCTAAAAAAGGATTCCATCTTTCTCAACTTGCAGCGTACCTTTGAAAAGCCGAACTCGGGTGTTTGTGTGGCCTGGGACGGCATGAAGCCGCCACCGGAGAAGAGAGATGCTCCACCATCGTACTGTGCGCTAGACATATTTCTCCAATGTAATTGCTACAGAACGTGAACCCTAACCCTAGATGAAGACGACGGATTGAGTGTGGTTGAACCGCTGCGATGACATCGCGGGAAATTTAAAGATTGGAGGGGTTATTTTCACACAGACAACTCGAAATATTGATATTTACAAATTTGTGATTTTTTTTTAAAGTGTATTTACGATTGCCGCGAGCAAGACCAGACAACTCGAAATATTGATATTTACAAATTTGTGTTTTTTTTTAAAGTGTATGCCGCGAGCAAGAGTAGGGCTGTCAAAAAAGTTTTTTATTCTCGAATAGCTCTTGGTAAGCTCGTTAAATAGTTGGCGTACGGCTCGTTCGTTAAGTAAACGAGTCGAGCATGAATAATTATTTTAAGCTCGAATTATAAACGAGTTGAACAAAAACAACTATTTATCTGCTTGTGTTCGGCTCAATTTAGCTCCAAATATATACATATATACATATGTATGTATAATTATTTATATAATAATATGCTCAATTTAGCTCCAAATATATACATATATACATATATATGTATAATTATTTATATAATAATATAATATATATTTATATCTAAATTTAAATCATAACAGCTCGTGTAGTAATATGGTTATGTGTCTTCTTTTGTATAGATTTAGTTTAGATTCGAATTCAACACTACATCTATTTTTTTCAAATTAATTTTAACGAGTCAATTTCGAGCCGAACACAAGCTCGAGCAATTTCAAACGAACAGAACATGAACCAAGCCTAAGCTCTCTCACGCTCGGCTCATTTACAACCCTACTTAAGACATTGAGAATTTGATAAAAAATGAAAAATAAGAGCCAGTGTTTTATCATTTATTTTGATATTTGATTGAGAATTTGAAAAATAAATAAGAGGGCAGTTGATTTGTAAATAACAAGTTTCCGGTGGTCTGAATGTAAATAACCTTATTTCCACCCATAAATTTAAATGTGTTTTTTATTTTATTTTCTTATAATGGATAAAAATGTTCAAACTTAAATAATTGAATATGGCCTTAATAGTTGATGATTTTAGCAATTTTTTTAATTAAGTATTTAGATCATATTAGTTAAATTCTATAGTAAAAGTAAGGCAATTATTTATTTATTTCAAATCATTTTCAACTCTATCAACATTAAATCTTAAAATTAACTTTAAAAATCAAATATTAAGGTAACAAAACTTAATGTAAATCCTTGAGATAGTTGAGCTTGACAGCATGTGATAATCATATGAGTTAACTTTTACTATAATTAGGCTTCTTTTATATATTAAAAGTTTGACAATCATATCACCACATTTGCTCATCATCAATTAGAAAATGAAAATGATAAATCATCATTTTTAAAGAGAGATATTTATCTTTTTGACTAACTCATAATATAAAATGCTGACAGAAATTGCACAAAATTCAATAAATTTAGATATTTACAAAAAAAATTTTAACTAAATTTGAGGCAATTCAATAAGAACAAATACCATGGCCATGTTCCTTGTGAAGAGATTATGGGTCCGTTACGAAAGTGCGATGGCAGTACGATACTGCATCGTAATTTTATCTGTTTAGATAAACTGCATTTAGGTAATTTTTTTAAAAATTTGCGTTGAAATTTACGTTGTTCCACCAATCCTAATTAGGTGCGATGGTAGCTTTCTAATTATAATCTAAATTTTTATTAAAAAAAATTGAAAATAATCACCGCAATTTTTTGAGCAGCAGATTATTCTTCAACAGCTCTACAGATGTTTTTTAATATAAGTTGCAGCTGCCCCCAAATAGACCTTACAAGAAATGAATGGGTAGAACAAAGGAAGAGACATTGTACACTTGCATCCATCCACATTAGTGAATCCTTTTAAACAACATTTTTACCTTTCAAATAAATTTAAAACATTTTTAATAAAACTTTTGATGCCAAGCATTTGCTTAGGATTTAGGGGTCTTTTGGATTTAGGGTTAGGATTTAGGGTTTAGAGATTGTACTTAATTGATGGCAATTGTCATGACCACAATAAGAAAAATATTGCAAAGATATTTAGGAGAGAAAGCTACATACAAAAGAAAAAATAACCAAAGATCGAACAAGAGATAGAAAGAGAGCTTACATCATTAAGAAAATTATTACGTGTGACTCACTGTTTGGTTCACTGCAAGTCCGAACGATGATCCTGATGCAACCATGCCACCATGAATCACACGACAGCCCATCCGGATCATCGTACGGACGATTAGCCGCCGTACATAATGGTCCATTCATATAATGACAAAAATGTGAGCTTCATTGGGTCCGTGACACTTCACATGTAGTCAAAATAACATTCTACTCCTAAAAATTCACAATAAAATATGATTTCTTAATATTCATGCAATACAAGAATTTTTTTAGAATTTAAAAAAGAAAAAGAAATACACACATGCTAATATGATCTACACATTAAAAAAAAAGGAAATTTCCATACCAAACAGCCCTTATTTATTTACATATGTAACACCTAAAGTTCGCTATTTACAATCATACCAGCTTGGTGGCATCATAAGCCTATACAATGAAAAGATGCATTTAACTATAAAAAGAAAAATTAGCAATTATGCAACTTTTTATGTGATATTAAAGATTCAAGTGTCATGCATGTAAATATGAAAAATTGACTGGTATGTATGTAAATGCCCCTAAGAAAAATACTATGACTGAAAAAAATTGTAAATGCCCCTAAGAAAAATACTATGACTGAAAATTTATTTTTTTTAAGAAAAGCCCTCTCAATCATACCATACATTTCTGCTCTCAAAAATTACAAAAACCAGCATTGTGAAGTTATGAAAAAGCATAAGAAATTACATCAAAGCTTCATGCAGACAAAAAAATTCAGAGACGTAACTTCTATCAACAAAAAATATACAGCCAAGTCAAAATTTAGCAATTACTGTATTATATTTCTCCTTACTATGTCTCAGGTGAAAGATAAAGACAGTGGATTAAATTTACTCTCCTCATTTCAAAAATCTGAAGCAGAAAACACATATTACCTCTTTCTGGAGAGGAAGAACTCATAATCTGGGTGCCTGTTTGTGCAGTTAAGATTGTTTTTGCGAATACTAGCCGTTGACATTACAGAAGCTGTTTTCTCCAAGGACTGCAACCTACTCTTCAAGTTTTCTGAAGGGATTGTGGGTCCAGAGTTCAAATTTGTTGGCTCAAACCAGAACTCATTCTGCAATTAAGAATAGGAAGATTTACATAAATACCGCCAATTCTTTGTATTTACATATATAAACTCTAAACTTAAATTATATATATATATATATATATATATATATACATGTCACATTACCTATGCATGAAAATATTGTGATATGAAACTTTTTGGGTGTTATAAATGTACAAAGTATTATAGGTGTTGGATATGTAAGTATGAAAGAATTGGGTAAGCGCCATAAAGGAATAAAATTTTGAGATTTGGAAAGATGCAATTCATTCATAGTGAATCAAATTATTTTGTGAAAACAAAATCCATTTCTAAAGGTATTGGGACTCCTTTCCTACAATGTGTCTACTGTGGCATTAAGTTTCTCAAGTAAAATACAAGCACAACATCACAACTTCTTAGGCATATTCGGGAGTGTAATAAAATCAAATCAAGCCAACAGCAAATTCATTTATTAGATAAAGGCCAAAAGCAACTGAATTTCTCACCCGTTGATATTGATAGTGATGTTGGAATTTCTATTTTATATGATCCTAAAAAAAATAAGACCAATGACAAGTTAGATAAATAATTGCAAGGATGATTATTGCTCGTGAATATCCTTTTAAAAAGGTGAAGCACACTTGGTTCAACATTCTGTTGAAATTTATGAATCCTAACTATGAAAGTATATCTAAAAACACTATTAAAAATGATTGCAAGTGAATTTATGATGTCGAGTAGGAGAACTTGAAGATTTACCTAAAGGGTGTTTAAAAGGTTTTTCTTATTTTAGATTGTTGAACCTTGAAGATTTACCTAATCAAACAATAGGATGTATGTGCTTAACCATCCATTTCATCAATGAATCTTTGAACCTTCAAAAAAGGATTATTAATGTCATCGAGCTTAAGTTTCCTCATACTAGCACTTTTATTTCTGATGCTATATGTGATTGTTTGGCATTGAAATCTCCAAAATAAAATTTCTATAATTACTCTTGACAATGCTAATAATAATATGTGATAGCTACTTGTTCAAAAAAAAAATAATTGAATCAAGAGAAAATTTGCATTTCCATGGGT